ATTTTGGTAAATGTTAAGTAATACGGTAACTCTAGTGTTGAACGATAAGTCATTATATATTGGATGATAGTCCTTGGTAACGATGCTGAATTAGGAATATAATTTAGATATATGCTTAAAAATAATTAACAAAATGATAGTATTTACTCAATCATCTTTTGTTTAACGCTTCACCAGGATGCCTTGATATTTTGACTGTTAAAGTAACTCATAATTTATATATCTCAATATCTAAATAGTTTATAAAAATACATCAATAGCAGTACGTATAAGTTATACTGAATAACGAATTAGGAAGACCTACGTGAAAAGCTATATCACATACGTATAATCAACTTTACAGTTCAATGTAGTCGTATGAATTAGGATTCCACATCATGGAAAGTCTAAAGATCATTTTCAATTAAGTGAGAACACTATTAAAATTACTTGAGCAAACAAAGATTTGATTTACCAAGCATATTACCCAATTTCTCTATCGGCTCCCCGTCAACAATAATATTGAAGTTTGTTAAGCTCTTTTTCTGTTAATGACACGTATATTTTAGATAACCTAAAAAAAAATACGTATGCATTCAATAAAATCTTACCTTATTCAAAATACATATACGTACGTATGTACATACGTATAACAATTATTACCTTTATGCATTGCAGTTATAAATCTTTTATGTACAGAAAATCGTCGAGAAATCGTAGCAAGATCTATAAATTCAATTTTTAGCCAAGAACACTAACCTTTCGAATCGATATATTCACTTCCGCCATCATCATGCTTCACAAAAGGAAGCGCTTCTCATTCCATCTCACTATAATAAAAGCTATGTATTAAATGATTACAAGTCATCAATATATAAATATCAAGAAAAGTAACCAATTATCAATTGTGTCAATACGAACCTACAAAGCAGTGTCGATACAACTGACCCCTTCGAAATACCAGTACACTGCCTATAATACTTGTCTCCAATCTATTAAAAAACATAGCATATTGCATTTTATACGTATCGCAAATTACAGGAAATAAGTGCTGCCAGGGGATAAGGCATTACGGATTTTCAATTATATTTTGTATTTGGAACAACCCCTAATAAATTAGATAAACCATGTCTGGCACAAAATATAATCCAAAGTCGAATGTGCATTTTCCCTTGACAGCACTCCTATAATATAACAGTTTCGGAATCATACTTTTATTAAATTATACTTGATATGCTTTTCTAAGAGATCAAGTATATCCTCCCTATCTAAATACGATTCTTTAACGCGGTCAATAAAAACTGAATTTGGTATCTTTTGTGCCGATTCTCTTGCAAAGGTTGGAAAATTAGGAAAATCGTCTATACGTATAATTTATATCATTAATGCGGACAACAGAAAATTAAGTGCAATGATTAAAAAAGTATTGCAAAACTGGTTACCTGTTGAGTCAGCATAATATTTATAAAACGAACGGATTGTACTACCCTTCTGGCAAACTACATCATATTCCTTCAAAAGTGTTTGCTGGCAAAGATTCTAAATTATATTGTTCAATCCGTAACCAGATATCTTTACGGTAATAAAACATGCGGTTCTTGTATGTTGCATTAGTGGTTATATAGAAATTAGCCTGAGCAGCATGAATACCATAAAATAAATTTAGTGACAAGAAATTTGAATCTGAGAAGCACTAAAAATTCGAATTCTCTTACTTGAAGTAGTGGAATAACAAAGCAATCATATATCCACCAAATAAATTCATACAATAGTTCGGATCTCTTCTCAGCTTCAACTTTGTTATTTTTATTACCCCCCACAAAAAGCCACTTGCACTGCTTGATCTTAACTTCAATATAAAATAAATAATATTTAGAACTATATAGTATGATATGTGGATAATAAAATAGGTAACAGATAAACTCTATATACTTCGAATTTATCCAAAACATAGTGTAGCGAGAGTTCTTCATAATACCTAAGCGCGATGAACTTTTCTACAGCTAATATTAAAATAATAATAATAATAATACCTTTAAATATTTCTTGTTGTTTATCATTACAACCCCAAAAATCCTCTGGAATTACTCGTTTCAGCAATGCACGAACAAATGTGGTAACCTATATTTATTAAAATATGTATAAAGACTACGTACGTATTAGAAAATATAAATATCAAATCATAAGATTATCCTTCATACTTGATATAGATTCGAATTAGAGTTGAAATACTGGATATAAGAGCTATCATCTGTAGGAGCGTTTTGCGCCTGTTAGGATCGACAACCAAAAAAAAAATGTAAAAATTCTGTACGTATAAAATTATTTGCATTTATTTAGTTTATTTTGTAATTGAGATGCTCTCCCACCATCACAGGGCAATAACGCTTAAGTAAGCTTGTGTATCCACATTTTTTATGTCGTGAAATAATTTGATTTATCATACGTAGGCAGCACTTGAATCAAGCGAGAAGGTATGTCAACATTAGATTTCAAAAAATAAATCCTATTATCAGTATTTGTTTGATGGTTACGTACTGTACGTTGTAAATATTTATTTCTTTATTTATTAAAAAAAATGTGAATCTCAGTAATACGATTTTGATACAATTGAAATAACGATTGCACGCTTGGTTACCCGTTCTTGTCGTGATCAAACACGTTGCGAAGACCAAATTGCTTCGGAAAAATATGGTGAATTACGTCTCTTGCCATGTTGATAATATTCAAAATATCTGTAAACCATTAATATACATATATAATCAATAAAATACTAGGTAATTATTCCTGCTTTTTAATTACTTACGATGTTTAGGCAGTACGAACCTGACAGAACCATTAGCATTGTGAGTTGCAGAAGGGAAAAATATTTTGGATCTGTTAAAAATAAGATTCGCAGGTGTTCTTACACTATTTTTCGAATTATTTTTTGGTCATCTGGTATTTAATTGTATATTTCGACATTGCTAAGAGATAAATTTTCTGACAAATTAGTACTTGATTCCCGGAAAGTTCTAGCACTATCACCGTTATTGTTATTTGATGAATTTAGAAATTTCTTTCAATCAATAAAATATAACTACAGAAAGTTACTTCTAAAATTATTTCTATAATCATCACAATACCATTATATATAAGACTTACCGTTACTTTTGATGGATATTTCTCATCATCCAAATTTACCAGATCGGGATGAAAACTTTAGACTCATGTACGTCCATATACAAATATTGTGGTATCATTTCTGTAGAAGTTTCCTGAGATGATACCCTTTCAAAAATCGATTCCTCCTTAAAGGTTTCTTGAGATGACATCACATTGTTCCAATTTTCCAAATCCATATACATATCTTGCGGCATGCTCTCTACGTATAAAAGTTTCCTGAAATGACATTCCTTTAAAAATTCCTTTTCCTTTAAAGGTTTCTTAAAATGACAAGATTTCCAAATCCGCGATGAAAATTTCAGATTCATGCTGTAAGTCCATATACAAATCTTGAGGTGTCGTTTCTTCTGAGATAGTACTCTTTCAAAAGTTCGTTCTCCTTTAAAGGTTTCTTGAGATAACACTTCTTCAAAGATGGCATTTTTTTAGAATTTTTTTGATAACATTTGGACTTTTGAAGATCAATATTCGGTTTAGGTAATTCACTAATTGCAAGATCTAATTGATAATAAATAAATTTAATTATGAAATTTATACGTTTAATTTGTTATTGTTAGAAAGTTGTACTTTCTTACCGGTTACTTGAAGAATTATGTGAAAGGTAAGTAAATATTGATATATTCTTCAATAAATAAGTCATTGCCTTCTCACCAAGCCTACAAAATACTATACTATTCAACCTTATACACTTTATGGGTTTATTTTATTGTAATCAAATCAGACTATTTACTAGAGTAAGCGTCTAATATAATCTGTGCATTAATTTTCGTATTCTACCATAACACCGTATTGATTTAGTACCTAATCACAGTTTGCAATCAAGGATTATTGACAAATTGATATCTAAATGTCTTCTATATACAATATACATGTTTGAAATTTTTATACTATCATTGAAGCCAAGTGATAAAACGTTGGGTTGCTTCTTTCATTATTAACCACCTACAGGTAAAATTTTAGATTAGTTTTTTAACGAACCATCTTCACTTAGCAAATTTAGTACGTAACTAAAGTATACTGTATACGTATTCTTTTTCCGAAACACTTCCTAACAAGGAACATGGGGTTTTTAGTAAGTTTGTATAATCTTCTTCGTCACCCTTCTGAATCAATTTAATTTGGTTGCCGCAATGCGTAGTAAGAAATTCATCTAAGGTGAAGATATTTGGATAATAAACATTCAAAACTTTGTTTTTCGAATACCTTGTCAATTGATTGATTGATTAATAAAAAATCCTACGAAAAAAATGAAAAATATTAAATATCATGTAAATAGACAAATTAATCTGTACCGGGTTACTGAGTCTAAAATCCTTGCTTTTACTATCGTTAGTTATCATAACTAAGACATCGCTTATGTTTGCATTTTTTTCTATTCAAAAAATACTCTGTGATTACATATCCGAATGCACGCGTATATCCGTTGATCTACATGCGTGATGAATTCATGTGTGAGAAAAATAATGCATGACAAACTTAAGATTTTGCTTCCGTTCCTGGTATACGCAAGACATAAGTTAATTATTATTAAAGCAACACACAAACAATATTTCTATGGTATATTTTTCAAGATTAAAACTTACGCGTAATGTCTTAATCAGCCTCCTTAGTTGACTATTAAACCTTATATATAGCTAGCATAGTAATAAATAGAACATACTTGCTTCTAAGTGAAGTTCTCGGGGGTGTTGATTATTTTTTTATTAGCTTGCACAATAAGTATAAGCGTTCTTTATTAGTGAAACGGTACATTCTCAAAAAGTACTTTAAAGCATATAATTAAGTTACCCGGGCAATTGATTACACCAGCCAATTATACGAATGTCCGACTATGATGATACAAAAATAAAAAGCAAATGAAATTACTCTTTGTCTGTTTCTTAAATTTTTATCAGTTTCATCACCTTTCATCAGTTACGTTACCTTTCAACAGTTTCATTACCTTTCGTCAGTTTCGTCACCTTTCAACAATTTCATTACCTTTCGTTAGTTTCATCACCTTTCGTCAGTTTCATATTTCATCAGTTTCGTCAGTTTCATCACCTTTCGTTAGTTTCATCACCTTTTCATATTTCATCAGTTTCGTCACATGAGTGCAATGACACATGATAAATAAGTAAATGCAAAAGTACCTGATATACCTGCCTATTGTTTCTTGATTTTTTAGTTGCTGATTCATCACCGAAAGTTAGCATAATTGCAATAGGAGTCATATCAGCCAGTTGCGAGACGCACTCATCACCCGCCAGACGCACTATTGGGCTAGCAAAAGGCCGGATATTTTCTCCATCTCGTACATCCACCGGGACGCACCCATCACCCGCCAGACGCACTATTGGGCTGGTGGAGACACGAGAAGTTTATGCATCATGCTAAGCAGTGCAAAAATCTAAACGATGGGATCATGTTATATTTTCTTTTCCGACACGTGATTTTTATACCAATTAAATCGATGGATCAGGTGTAACGTAAAATCAAAACAATCGAATTAGCCCCGAATTTGCAGATCGTTACTACAACAGGGGTACTCGAGGTAGGAACGTCCCGAGTGCCCCGATTTTGTTGATCGTTACACAATTGATTAAGGATTTTTTTTATACGTTTTACAATACTTTTTTCGGAAGCTCGGGTAGATTATCTCATCCGTAAAATGTGAAAACTATTACTGTATTAGCGTTAGAGTAACTTGAAGTTCTCACCTTGCCTTACAACATATTCGTTTAATCCATCTTAATCCAACAACTTTCATATTGCACTTCATCAGTTGAAGTTATAAGTAATTAACCACTACTACTTTGACAAAATCTCGTTTGTTGCGCAAAAAAAAAGGTAAAATAACGTTTAATTATGGTTGTGTAAAAGGAAGAAATTAGTATATATATATATTATTATATGTATTGCTTAGAAATCCTTTTGAAATTAAAATATATGAATAATGTTAATTAACTATACAATTTATCAATATCATTACTATAGGAGCGTTTAAGATACGATATGAAGTTTATACTGTATAAGTGCATAATGTATATTAAAACAATATTCATTTAATATATGATATATAGTATAATGTAAAATATCAGAAATGTGAGTAAATGTAGAATTAGACATAGATTTAAATGTAGAAACTTAGAGAATTAAGCATATAGATTATTGAGGTTTTGTAAATAAAATAAAAATAAATACTATTGAAAAAATTAATAATCTTGATTTAAATTAATAAATACATGCATGCTTGCTTACTTTAACAATAATATTTGATAGCAGTTATTTTAAACTTTAACTATAAATTTTAATTAAATATTACTCTTTTTTACTTTATAAAAATTTACAATTTATTGGTTAATCAACATGTGATATTTTTTATATATTAAAAATTTACAATATTGATTGGTTAAATCAATATGCATGATTGAGCTCATCATTTTTCTATTTGGGACATTTCTACCTGTATAGTCATGGTCAGGCATTCATTTGATCAGTTAATATAAATCAATTTTCCAGATAACTTTTTATATACTTTAGAATAAGTAATTGCTACAAAAGCTATTTTTCACTTTAAATTAATATTAATATTTAGTAAAAAAAAATAATCTCAAAATAATCTATAAACTTTGCTTAAAAATCTAGATGTTATTAACAGGATTATATATAATTATTATAGTAATAGAAAATTATTTAACTAAAAAATAGTAACTAAAAACTTGATTAAAAGAGAACAAACAAATAGTACTTTATCTTTTTATATTTATGTAGATAATATAATTTGTTTGAATTATTATAATGAAATTATAACAAATTGCTTAGTTAAGTTTTAAGAACATGCTTAAGTTAATATAAGATAACATAAAACTGATGAGTTAACTTTTAAAGATATTATTAATCTAGAACAATCTAAAACTAATAAGGCTAATAAGTTTTACAATTCTAATTATTTATTTTTTTCTAAAGCAATAAAAATATTAATAATAACTTTATATAATTATAAGATAAAAAAAGAACTATTAATATATTTATTTGATAAATTCTAAATAATTATAAAACAAAAAAGATATAAGTTTAAAAAATTTTTTTAATAAATTATATCTTTTATTTAAAAAATAATAAAACACAAATATGAGTAAAAAAGTAACTTATATTTATATATTATTTTTTTTATAAAATTAAAAATAAGATCATAACCTCTAGAGTTAATAGCATAGTAGTTATACTCTAAGATCACAAATTACAAGACTGCCAATTCAAATCCTAATAACAGTAATTGTAAAGATGTATTTCTAAAAATAGAAAACTGCAACACTATAGGATCAGTATCAATAGATGAACTTATTTCTAAAAATGACAAGTAACTTACAGTTATTAAGCTACACAGTAAAGAATATAAACTAGAATCAAATTTAGAATAATCAAAATCATGAGATGTAATATAGGATCAAAAGTCTAATACTTATAGATATTATATGAACTTATAATACATGACTAGTTTTGAACAGAGCCTTGTAAAACTTTATAATTCTAGTAAGGATCAGTATAATAAATTATTTTTAAAAAATTTAAAAGTACAAAATGAAAGAAGTTAAGATTTAGTAACTTTTAATATTAAGAACATTGTTTAAATATATGTACAAATACAAAAAATCTTAACAAGATTATTAAAAAAGAAATAAAATAAAATAAAATAAAATAAGATTATAAATAATATCAAAAGAAATTTATTGTTATATTTATATTTGATTAATATTTCTAATATTACTATAAATATACTTACAAAATCAGATATAACTATTATATCTTATTTAATTATATAATATAAGATTAGTACATCTGAAGAACATGTTAAAACTGTTAATTTTGTACTTGCTAATTATATAAAAAAAATAATAATCTTAAATATAAATGATTATTATAATATTTAAACATTATAGATGCCAAACACAACTATTATATCTATAGTAATTTATTTAGCAATAATATTAATGAATCTAATTACTATACAGCCAGCTATTTCTTAAGCAAACATATATAACTCTATATTAGTTAATGTTAAATCTATTAAAAGAAATATAAAAAATAGATTTATAATATTTTATAGTTTTTTATATAATCAATATTGAAAGTTCTATTTAATTAATGATTATACAAGATCTAAAAAACTAAGTGTTTATAGTTATGACATTTGGTTGAAAGTAAAATATTATATTTGTTTTATAAAGAATGTTATTCTTATAGATTTATAAGAAAATAGATTTCACAATATAGAAGAATATATTGAAGTTATTAATATTATTACAAATGTTCTATCTATGTAGCTGTATATTGAAAAAGAAAACTTATTTCTATTGTTGTCAATTGGCCTAAACAAATTCATTTTAGAATAACAATTTTATATTATTTAATTTACAATAATTTATTAAATATTACTAAAAACATTTTATCTTTTTTTTTTATAATAGGTCTATTTCATATTTCATTAAATAGTTATGAATTGGTTTTTTTTTAATATTGTTTTTTTTTACAAATATGTATCACTATATTTTTGAAAATAAAAAACTCTTATAAAAATATCCAAACTATAATACAGTATATTAAACTTCTTTTAAAGATTTCTTACAGTACTTAGCAAGAAATTTTAAAAATAATTAAAAATAAATTCAGGTTTTGGTACAAAGATGCTAAATATCTTGTACTTAAAGCTCTTCTTAATAATATAATTCCTCTTGTTTTAAATATTTATATTGTGTTTTTAAATCTAGTGATTTTAATTCTTATTTTGAATTTTGCTTTTATATTTGAACAATATTTTTAGATTCAAACAAAAAATTATACAAAAGCATTATAATGTTTTTATTAGATATTTTTTTATTAAAAATTAATTAATTATCTAATTCTTAAAATTATTAAAACTATATTTCATAAATTTTCAGATTCAAATATCAAAATTTTTTATAGTTTTTTATCTAAAAGTATACAAAAATATGATAAAGCCTAGCAGATTATTTTTTATAATCATTATATTAATCAATTGCATTTTGATAACAACTAGTTTAAAAAAATTTTATATACATTTTTTCTTGGGTAGCATATAAGTATTTTGCATAAGATATTATTAATTTAACTAAAAAAATACTTGTTTTCTTTTATAATATTTTTTTTTAACCTTTGGCAGCTATGATAATCAACCAGTTAGAAGTTTATTTATAAATGTTTAGTACAGACAATATACAAATAAAACTATATTTAACTTTACATGCCATTATCATGTGGTTATCCCAATTGGCACTTACAAGTGACCTGTCACATCAGACCTGCTAAAGTCTGGATCGAGCTTGTCTGTCTGCATCCTACAATTGAACAGCACCAATCTGATACTATTTATTCATAGAAAGATAAAAAACTAAAAAAAAATTTTTCTTATTAAAAGAAAATGTACTAAAAAAGGTGTATAGAGAAAAAATATAAAAAAAAAACAAATATCAAGAAATGAAAGGAAAGAAGATTGCTGATGAAGGTCAGACAAACAGTTACTAATTATAAAGACTATGTCAGTCTACTAAAAATTATATATTACTAAATACAGTAATCTCTACTTTAACTTTATTTAATTAACATATTTAATACTAAAGCTTATATCCTAAAGAAAACAATTCAACCAAAACTGAACTAGCAAAGAATTTTTCATATGCTAAACACCTTAACTTCTTGTCACTGAATCCATCTTTATATATAACTCATCATACTTTTCACCAGATTTTATATTTCGATACTTGTCACATTTTTGACTAATTATCTTATTTTTTGTTAAAAATCTCCAATCTTGTCTCATTGTTGTGTTTTTCTAAGATATGTGTACTCATGCTTTATCTGCAATATAGGTCCTTTCCAAATAGAACTAATAAACAATCCTGATTTGGAAGGATCAACAATGCTGATTTGATAGGAGTAAGCTAGATTGCCTATTTTTTAATAAAAATTTCTTAGAAAAAAGTAGAAAAGGAATTTCTAAAGCACCAACTGTAATGAGCATAGAAGGTTATGTTATATAGAATAGCATTTCTAACTAAGCTTTTATCTTTGCTACTGCTCAGATATAGCTTGACAAAAACTTCTTTGATTGTAGTCAAAGTTACTTTTTTGATAACTTCATAAACTTTTACTAAAGAGCCAAACCCACAAAAAGCAATCTTTTTTAACTCTTTTTCATATAGCCTATATGCAATCTGAAACTCTTGAACACAGATTCTATATAGTGAAGTTTTGTTATATATAAATATACTAACTATATAATTTTCATAAATTAGTATATATGGAAAAATTGGTGCAGAGAATTATCAAAAAGAGTGTTGAATATTTTTTTAAAAATTTGTGTTTATATGTTTTAT